TCCGCGGGCCGCGCGCTAGGCCCGGGCGGCTCCCAGGGCGCGTGCGCGTTACCGCCCCCAAGCTCGGCTCTCCGGGCTCCGAGCAAAACGCGGAAGCGGATTATAGCCTGAGAGGGAGGATCGGGGAGCGGGAAAACCCGAAGTGGATGACTGTGCGCCACAAAGGCGGTGGGGGGGCGGAGAGCCTGCAAGGCCCGGATCTCCAGATGGGATCTCCGAGGCAGGTCAGCGCCCAGTCCTGGACCCGCCGCCTGCGTTTTCAGTGGGAGCTCGAGGGCCAAGGAGGATGCTGGCTCTTGCAGCCCCAATCCTGCTGCCCGCACCCCATGTCCCTTCGCCCCTCACCGCTGCCAGAGCAGGCCCCCTGCATGTCCTTGTCAGGAATTTTACTCTTAAGAAACAACCATGCCTTGTCGGTGTGGCTCAGTGGTTGAGCATTGACCTATGAACCAGGAGGTCACGGTTCCCTTCATCGTCAGGGCACATGCCTGGGTTGTGGGCTCAATCCCCAGTGGGGCATGCAGGAGGCAGCCGATCAAAGATGCTTTCTCATCACTGAGGTTTTTATCTCTCTCTTCCTCTCCCTTCCTCTCTGAAACCAATTTAAAAATATGTTTTTAAAAAGAAGAAAGAAACAATCACAAGAAAAACAAATAGAAAGGTAAAAAGTTGCTGTGAGCCTAATCCAGTGGTCAGCAAACTCATTAGTCAACAGAGCCAAATATCAACAGTACAACGATTGAAATTTCTTTTGAGAGCCAAATTTTTTAAACTTAAACTTATAGGTAGGTACATTGTTATTAACTTAATTAGGGTACTCCTAAGCTGGCCTTTGCTAAAAACGTCCTCAATCTGATTGAGGTACGTTGGCTGAGGTCAACCCCTTCCAACTCTCCCATCCACACTCGTCTTGTTTACTTGTTCCAGACAGACGAGCGTGGATGGGAGAGCTGGAAGGGGTCGACCTCAGCAAACGTACCTCAAAACGTGCGCCCACACGTGGTATTTTGTGGAAGAGCCACACTCAAGGGGCCAAAGAGCCGCATGTGGCTCTCGAGCCGAGGTTTGCCGACCACTGGCCTAGTCCATTAAACCCTGGCCAGTGTTGTTCAGTGGTTGGAGTGTCAACCCAGGCACAGAAGGGTCAGGAGTTTGATTCCCCGTCAAGGGCAAGTACTTGGGTTGCAGTTAGTTGCCTGGCCAAGCGCGAGACAATCCATCTATGCGTCTCTTTCACATTGTTCCTCTCCTTCCCTCTCTCTCTCTCCTTCTCTCCCCCTCCTCTCTTCCATTCTCTTTGAAAAACTAATGGAAACTGAATAAGGATTAACAACAAAAATAGAGTCTATTAAGAATAAAGAAAGAGTATTGCTTGTGGCAAGATTAAAAATGGCGGCAGAGTAGGAGGATGCTGCACGGACATGCTCCCAGGAACAAGCTGGAATTACAACTGAAATACGAGAAGGCTTCCTGAATAATCAACAGAAAACTCACAGGAGAGAACCCGGATATCCAAGGACCAAACGTGGAGCCGGTGTAGAGACTGGTAGGAGAGGCAGAGGCAAGACCCACAGACGGCAACTGAAGTCCCAGAGAGATATCTCAGCTCGGGGTGTAGGGGTGAGGGTGCTACTGAGAACTCTGGGATCTAATCCCGGAGCTGGGCTCCCCAGCAGAGAGCACCAAACTGAGGAGGGTACCCACATAACATCTAGCTGTGAAAAGCAGTGGGGTGCTGCCTGCCAGGAAGTAGCAGCTGAAAGTTCAGGCACCCTCTTCAAGGGCCAAGGCACAAACACTCCCTGTGGAGCCACCCACCTTGTGTTCTGGCAGAGGGAGGGTGAAGTGGACTGGAGCTGTGAGAGCAGAACCCAGCACTGGGGACTCGGGATAGAGCTCAGAAGACAGACACCCCAAGTTTCCTCGGCTCAGTCATTCCCTCACACAGCCAGAGGACATCTTTCCCACATAGACATCTGCCTTGCCTGGGCGGGGATAGACATCTGCCTTGCCTGGGGGCAAGACAGTTGACACACCCTATTGGAAAACACCTTGCCCTGAGGCCGCTTAAGAGATTAAAAATAACAAGTAGCCTCCAGGCAGAAGCAACTGCCCCACCCTGTTGAAAAAACTCTTGCCACACCTGAGGACAATTGCCTGAGGGCAATTCAAGTCAAAATCCTATTAGTCTGTAGGCAGAGGCAGTCTCTGGAGCAGTGGTTCTTAACCTTGGCTGCACATTAGAATCACCTGGGAATCTTTTTAAAATCCTGATTTCTGGGCCTCATCTCTGGAGTCTTTGGGCTTTGCCTGATCCAATTAGTCAAAAACAGTTTTTAACACTGTCCTGCACTAGGAGATTGAGAGGTGTAGAGGATCTACCCTAATACATAGTCACAAACCCAAACAGACACCCAAAATGAGGAGACAAAGAAACAACCCCCAAGTGAAAGAACTAGCGAATTCTCCAGAAGAAGAGATAAATGAACCAGAGATAATACATTTATCTGAAACAGAGTTCAGAGTAATGATGTTATAAATGCTCAACATTATGGAAAAAAGATATAGTAACTATGAAAAAAGAACAGTCTGAGATAAAGAATGACCTAATACAAATAAAGAACACATTAGAAAGAATACACAGCAGATTAGGGGAAGCTGAGGATCAAATCAGTGAATTAGAAGACAGAGTTGAAAATATCACTCAATTAGAGAATGAAAAAGAAAAAACAATTAAAAAATAGGAGGACAGCTTAAGGGAGCTATGGGACAATGTGAAACACAACAATATTAGAATAGTAGGTGTGCCAGAAGAGGCAGAAAGGGAGAAAGGAATAGAGAAGGTATTTGAAGAAATAATGGTAGAAAACTTTCCTAACCTGGTAAAGGAAAAACTCACACAAGTTCAGGAGGCACAGAGAACCCCAAACAAGAAGAACCCAAACAGACCCACGCCCAGAGT